TATTATGTTATGTTAATCACCATACATTACATCATTAGTTTTTGATGTAGTGTTCCATGATTCATTGTTTGCATATAACACCCAGTGCTCCATGCAGAACCTGCCGTCCTTAATACCCATCACCAGGCTGACCCATCCTCCCACCCCCCTCCGGAGATTCTATAATTTTTAAAAGAAAATAATGTAAGCACTTTTAAAATGTTTCTTCCAGGCTTGTCCTAGAATTTTTTTTAATACGGGCATTGCACCAGAGACCAGGTTTTACAATTAGCTTCCACTTTGACCAAAGATCAATATGCTCATGGCATTGCACTCCCAAACTATGAGTTATTAATTTTTCAGTCTATGATTCTTAGTATTCATTTGGTCATTTAGCAACTGTCCTGAGTGTCCACCACACTCAAGTCACAGGTACTGTTTATCAATTATTTTTGCTCACTCCCAATTTCACATGCCTGTCAATACAGCAAGGTTGTAGGGGGGTGTTTTCCCCCCTTCGTTAGGCCTTGAACCTTAATTTTTTTTTAATTAAGAATAAACAGTAAAAATTACTTTTCTACCAGATTAGGAAATGCTTATTCTCATGCACATCAGGAATGGGAACTTCCATGAAAAGAAGAGGAAGCCCATCAATTGTTAGCACCAAAGAGATAAGAACATGAGTCACAGACGGACTTTCCCACAGACACCATCCATCCCGGATTCCTTTTCTTTTTTCTTTTTGTTACTTACACGGAGGTTGAGCTTGAATTATCCAGCTGCAGTTCTGATTGTTTGGATACTTGGCAGGGAACAATGGAGAGGATATAGTATCAAATGAGTCGGTGAGGATGTAGCTTCCACAGGCTGAGAAACGCACAAACACACACACACACACACACACACGTCAGGTACTTTTGATATCTACAGACTGTACAAAACAATGATTTGATGAGTAAAAACATAAATGATTTTCTCCTATTTCTGAAATGCATGCCAAGGAAGTACTCTGCCAAGGAAGCTGCACATAAACCATGAGAAAGTAGAAATGCACTGTATGTTTATAACAATATTCTTCAATTGCAGGAAGTGGGGAGTGGCAAAGAACAACAGATTAAATGGCTATGAATTGCCTGAATCATTCAAACAAGACTCTGTTATTGATTCACTTACTCTACCCACTCATAAATTATAGGGATAACCTCTTTATGAGCAACTTCTTTTTTTTTTAGGAAAACAGTCAATTGAACAAGACTGCATAAGGATGGCTATGTATTATCAGAGAAGTACAAAGCTTTGCAGCAGCACAGAAAAGAGAGTCTGTGGCCGGCTGGAGAGAATAAGGGCTGTCTCACAGATGGGATGGTAGCTGAAGGAGGAACCAGGGCTGGGGAAGAGTAATCCAGAGAGCTGGTGGCCTGGGCTGAGACACAGAGGAGGGTCAGGCCTGCGACTACACAGACTTGACTGAAGTGTGGCTCTCTTGAGGGCTGCTGGAAGTGATACTGGAAAAAAGACTGGGGCAGGTTCCAGGGCCCTTAGGTAACATCTGAAGGAAATGGGGCTCCATTCCCTAGGCAGTACGGAGCCAGGACAGATCAATGGAGCGCTCAAGGGCATGACCACAGTGTAGCTTTTGTGAGCTAACTTTGGAGGAAGATGGGGAAAGGGTGGGTGAGTTGGAGGAGGCTTTATAATAATCCAGTGGAGACCTACTGAGGACATTGTTTACTCTGAAGCAAATCATAAGTAATTAATTAAATGAAAAATGAAATTTGTTCAGAAACTATTCATTTCTTCAGGGAGTGATTGATTTATGCATTCTGTCTTGTTCCAAAGTCTACAATGCATCTTTGGGACACCTCGATCCAGAAACCATCCCTAGGCAGGGCTCTTTACTATAGGATACAAACAAGCCCTAAATAGACTAAGTGACTAAATGGCCCACACTTATTTGAAATGACAAGGACCAGCTGAGTAAAGCTCAGAGGCACATTGAAGCTGACCAAAAACTCCTCCCGCTCCAGGTTCCATCTCTGACAGTGGGATAAAGGGTTCATCTCTAAGAATAGCCAGATGAAAGGCAATGGGTGAAAAGGTGGAGTAGGATGAACTGAGAAGTGGTGATTTAATAATGAAAACAATGGAAAACAACACTGATTCCTCAGGTGGACAAGGGCAGGACTCAGAAATGAGGGCACCATGGACCTCAAGGGATACAATATGACTCTACATTACAAGCAAGTCTTGTCATTTATGGAGTATCTCCTCCCAGCATAAAATCTTGGATAAATGCTAGATAGTTTATCTACTAATGAATGAATTTGGATACTTTTTTTACAGTGACTCTCGTATTAAAAATACTTTGAAGCATTATTCTGAAAGCTTGCTTGAGAGATACACAGATCCAAAGGAAGTTAGCTATCATCTGTTAGCCCCGAGTAAGTGTAAAGGATGAACAGCTGGATAGTTCCTTTGTTCTATTTAAATTGTCACCTGTCAAGTAGAAAGTGGGGACCAGTTTCTGAGGCCTAGCCTCATGTCACTGTAGCACTAAAAAGGACCTCCAGAGCAGATGGCCAGTGCCTCAAGGAGACACACAGATACACGAGGCACCTGCCTTGCCTGAAGTGAGCTCGGAAGCCCCTGCTCTGTCTGGAAGGGCCGGATTGAAATCGCAGAAAGAGGCTGTTTCCTGAAGAGGTGATGGGGTTAGCCAGCAGCTGTCTTCCACACACACGGGCAAGGCGGGTAGTTGTGGCGCTTAAACCATCGTATGCCTACAAAGAAAGACAACAGGGAAAATAGTGATTCAGAGAACTTCGGATTTACATCTAGTAGGCCCATATTCCATGGGCTATCGACACATGGGCTAGTGGAAAACAACACATTCACTAGATCTTTAGGTCACCATTACATCCCTGGATATTTTTATTTATTTATTTACTTACTTACTTATTTATTTAAGATCTTATTTATGTATTTTTTGAGAGAGAGAGCGTGCGTGCGCATACACATGCACATGTGCACATGAGCAGGGAGGTGGGGCAGAGGGAGAGAATCTTCAAGCAGACTCCTCACTGAGCACAGAGCCCGACTTAGGGCTCAATCTCACCACCCTGAGATCACCCCCTGAGCCAAAGCCAAGAGTCGGACGCTTAACTGACTGAGCCACCCCGGCGCAACATCCTGGATATTTTTATAAATGCCCTCACTTTCACAGCCCTCCTTTCTCCCCTGACCCCACTGCCTCATATCAAGGGCCATTCCCCACAACATGAAATGTTTGATGCAAGAATGAATATAGGAACCAATAGATGAGAAATAAGGAGGAGTAACCATTTGTTTTCAGAAACCCAACATTTGCTGGAACTTACTGCTTTTCATAGGGTAGAAGGAATGGCAGAATTCTTTCAAATGATAGAGTGATGTGAGCCTAACTTAGAAAATTATCTAATTAATAAAAAAAAAGTATTAGGCTCTATGTCTGCCCAGTGCAATGTTGGGACTTAAGCTGACCCTCCATAGGTACTAATGGAATAGAGTTGACATTACATGTACCCAAATCACTGTACTGGTTTGTGAAATTGAAGCTTGATTTCCTCAGAGCTCAGTGGTCTGCTGTGAAGTTTTTGACACTCTTATGTGTAAATGGGGGGAGTGAGTTCCTTTTCTTTGGACCATAACAATAATGTCAACCATTCATTAAGTGCTTACTACCTGCCGGAAACTGATTCAGCCCTTCATATACACTATCCCATTTTCTTCTCCCCAAATGCCTTCCATTTTTAAGAAGACAATTGCTACATATAAAGAGCAAATTATGTGGCCGACTTACACAATTCTTAAGAGGGAGGAGGTCATGTTGAATCAGACAGCTAGATCCTAAAGTCCAGAACTGAAACTCTCATATCGTCTAATGCAAGGTATCAATTAAGCAAGATAGATGCATCAACTGGTAACCAGCAGAGTGGGATTAAAATACAAAGTTAGAATATGGCTGTTTCACTCAAGATAAATTGTCATTTATATTTCATAAGAAAGTCTTGGGATAAAACAGAAAGTTCAGGGATTTGATACAAGGAAGTCTCACACAAATTACTTTAAAATATCTAGGAATGATTAAAATCAGTGTTCTCTTTAGCACATAAGTATGATTGGGAGGCAATGCTCAGTGTAGTTCATGTAAGCACATCAATAAGAACGAAACATCAATAAGATGTTTAACTGTCTACCAAGGAACTAAAACTTTCACAATAATGAATTTTAAATAAATGTGGTTCTGAAACATCACCTCTCTTTTTTTCTTTTTCTTTGTTTTATTTTATGTTCAAACTTTAAACCGATAAATAAAACTTTAAAATTGATTTTTATTCAAATTCAAAAACTGATTCAAAACTCTGGGGCACCTAGGTGGCTCAGCGGGTTAAGTGTCTGACTTTTGATCTCAGCTCAGGTCTTGACCTCAGGGTTGTGAGTCCAAGCCCCACAGTGGTGGCTGGGTGTGGAGCCTACTTAAAAAAAAATTGATTTAAAACTCAATTACATTTTCATAACCAAGTCAAATTACAGTTTCCAATCTGGTATGACTACTTCTTTTGAACATGTTGAACACCATCAATAGTATCAAAACAACATATAAGTCATCCTTACAAAACCTCTCACTACATTTATACTTTAACCTACTTCAAATGTTAACATTTGGTTTAATACAAGAATTTATTATTTCTATACTTGGCTTTATACTTTCCTAAGGTTATACAGATATAACATCCTAAGATTTCAGTAATGTTATATTAATACTGTCTTGCTTTAAAGAATACCTTCTAGAATGTCTTAGAAGTCTGGAGAATATACCAATTCACTCTTGGTCAGGACTACCTGCATAAATCTTTTTGCTTCTCTCTAGTAATTTGTTTAGCACAGCATGTCTTATACTTTAGTGGAATACTGGGGTTCTGTGAGGTTTATAGACTCCCCCACCAAAAAAAAAAAAACAAAACACCGCCAACAGAAACAACACACACTCTGAAGATTTTTACAAGTCCATATACTCACAAAAGCAAGACTCTTCTAGTCTCCTTTCTTTCTCCCCAAATTCAGAGGCCTAGTGAGTAAGTAGGTATCGTTCCTCCCTTTTTTAAATGGCTGTAATCCTCTTAAGGCAAAACAGGTAAAAATGTAAGGCTAGAAGGTTCAGAGAGTCCATATGAATGAGCCATTTCCCTGGGGATTACATCTTCCAGGGGGTCTCTGTGTTTCCCAACTTCCCCGCCACCCCCCCAACCCCAACCTTGGAATCAAAGGGCCTTGGCTTCACTTCATATGCCTGGGGCTTTGCTTTGCAGGAAACGGATCTGAAGCAGAAGGTTTCCAAATGTCCCTGAATCAAATTATATACCAGTGACACCCTACATTTGATTAGCATGTTGTAATTTTATAAGCACCATCACAAACATCCTAATCTCGTCCTCAACACCATGTGATTTTTTTTAATGAAGAAAGTGAGACTTAACAAGTATGCTAGCTATTAAAGTGTTGCCTCATCCGATATAAGCTAGTAACTCATCCAAGATCATACAGATAGTGAGGAGTAGAGTCAGGAACTTATTTCTTCTCTCCCCAGATTCTATGTTATATTGAATCACTTCTCTTTAAAATGCTCACGATAGTTATTAAGTTACATATACCAAATCATCACTTTATGAAAGTGTTAAGACCTCAGATTTTCAAAGAAACAATTGATTTTTTGAAAAGTTTAGAATAGCAATTCTTTTATTTGAGACTATTCCTAACACTTGTAATATCAAATAAATTTAAGTTTTAATTAATAAAATTATAAGAAAAAACTGCAAGGGGGGCGCCTGGGTGGCTCAGTTGGTTAAGTGACTGCCTTCGGCTCAGGTCATGATCCTGGAGTCCCTGGATCGAGTCCCGCATCGGGCTTCCTGCTCG